ACGAAGCATGTGTTGCACAAAACCCGCGCATCTCTTTCATCTTTCGGTGTCCTCTAACATGACCGCTAGCAGATTTCATCTGAAAGTCCTGTTTCTCAAACATACCCAAGTTGCTCTTCAATATCATCTTTAAGACTGTCGTCTGTGTTATATAGTAAGGTTTCATCATACAAGTGACTGTCTGTACGGGAAGAAGCCTGATGTTGTTGAGCTTTTTATAATAGTCTACCAATTAACAATGTTGAACGCGTTTCTGATTTCTAACGTGATGATAGCAGATTCCTTCTGCGTCCTTGTTCTTTTGGGCTGCACCGACCACCTCCGCAATAGCGTCCATAGTGTATCGTCATTGGATAAAGCCAAACTTGAGCTTAAAAACGCCGCCTCCAGCCTCTCTAATCAATTTCCTACGAGTTCGACCCCGTTGTCCGGCACAAAGATCGATCTTTGTGAGTACGGACTATCTAATGTCTTCTTGAGCTTTTTTAACAAAATCGGAAGCTGCCTTTTCCAAAGTGTTGAAAACGTGCCAAGTCTGAGAGACAATGTTATCGACCAATTGTATTATTTTCTTGGGTATTCTAACGTTCGACATGTTGCATCGATTTCATTCTCTGTTAATCATATTTCCTAGCAAGAGTCTTGTTAACCCTGCATGTTACCTACATGCGCACAAACACCTCTGTACCATAAATGGCGTAGGATATAAATATATACGTACAGGTATATATATATAAACGCGTAAAATATCTAGGCAGGCAAATGATTCCTTGCAAATTTAGAATTATTCCTGAATCGATCGGCGTGATAGAAGAGATGGATCTACGTCCAACCATTCTGAGTGCTCCTTAGCAAATGATTCCTTGCAAGCATAGAATCATTTCTGAACTGATTCGTACAGTAAAAGAGATGGATCTGTCTCCAATGCTTTTGAGTGTAGTATACATCTTTAAAGGTTTAATATGCTCTGTATTGCAAGTAGTGTAGGGACGTGAAAATCAATATTAACTCTATCCTCTTACTTTGATCAGGAAGAAAGGTTTCAACTTTCAATTAACAAAGTTAGTATAGCGCCACTGTATACAGGGAGAGTAGATCCATCAAGCGAACATATTTTTAAGAGAACTTTCTCGATAATTTATCGTGCATTTAAGAGTGTAAAAGTAAAGTCAACCGTTGGTTTCTTTTTATTATTATTTTTTTTTTTTTTTTGAAACGATCGTTAACAAGCGAAACGAAGAGAGATATCATTAGTTCAAGAAGAGACCGGCTTTTATTTAGCGTTATTTGAGTAGGGTCGCGATGGGGAGAGGAGAGTGTAAAAGAAAACGTTTATATATGTGAATTTCAATATGGTTTTTTTTTTTTTTTTATTAATAAGTAGTGGAGTTAAAAAAAAGTTAGTTAATAAAAAATTTGCAAAAATAAAAAGAAGCAAAAAACTATACCAGAGGTACAGGTTTTTTACTTTTTCTCTCGCGCGGGTTTTGTTTTTTCGATCTGCAGCAATATATTCATGTCACCATTGAATAGGTAAGAGCGGCGTCGTTATGCTAAAAATAACTGTGTATACTGTGTGTCTGTCCCCTTTGTATATATCTTGAAAGAAATTGAAAAAAAAAAAAAAAAATGAAAAAGAGTCAATTGAGTGGCGCTATCTAAAACGTGTGAGTTTTCTTACTTAAGTGTGGTGAGCACAAAAAATTATTTAATGCGTTCTGTATATGCGGTGTTGCTTTAACATTTAAAGAAACGAAAGTCAGTCAGTCAGTCTATTGTTGTGCGTCTTCGTGCCGTTAACGTTAAACTTTTGCGCAAATAAATTTTTCAACAAAAAAAAGAAAAATAAATAAAAATAATTAAAAAAAAAAAAATGAAAGAAAATTTTATTCTCTTGCAATCTTGTGTTAAATAATTGGAAAAAAAAAAAATAATAAATCATATATATATTTTTTAAAGTGTAAATTAATAAAAAAAAACAAAAAAAAAAAACAAAAATGTAAATAAAAAAAAGAAAATTGTGCTTAAAAAAAAAAAAAAAAAA